GGGGGTGTTGGTCTAGTCTGGGGTTCACACGGTTCTGGTGCTTTAGTTGAGGGTGGGGGTGTTGGTCTAGTCTGGGGTTCACATGGTTCTGGTTCCTTAGTTGGCGGAAGGCGACGTGTCGTAGATGTCAACCAAGGAGGTAGCGTAGGGGGTGGAGTTGGTGCCTTAGTAGTACGGGGTGGCGGAGGATTTGTTGGTCTAGTCTGCTCACATGGCTCTGGTGCCTTTGTTGGAGGAGGGCGACGTGTCGTTGACGACAACCTAGGAGGTAGGGTAGGTGGTGGCGGTGAAATTGTGGGTCTCGTCACTTTTTCACATGGCTCCGGTGCCTTAGTAGATGGTTGACGCGGTGTCGTAGATGTCAACCAAGGAGGTAGCGTAGGGCGCGGTTCAGGAGTTTTGATTTGAGGACGAGGTGGAATTGTTGACCTAGTCTGTGGCTGACATGGCTCTGGTTCCTTAGTAGGAGGTGGCGTAGTCTGGGGTTCACATGGTTCTGGAGCTTCAGTCGGCGGAGGGCGAGGCGGTGTGGTTTTTAACCTAGGTGGCAACGTTGGACGCGGTTCAGGGGTAGCTTTTGTTGGAGGAGCAGTTTGAATTGGAAGGCATGTAAGTTTAGCTGGTGGAGTATATGATACGCTTGGGGTTACTCCTTTGCTCGTTAGCAGAGGACAAGGTTTTGGTGATTTATTGGGAGGAGTAGGTTTAGGAGTAGTTTTAACTTCTCTGGGTGGCATCGTTGGGTTTTCCGGTGCTTTGGTAGAAGAAGGAGGTGGTCTAGTAGGAGTTTCCTTTTCAGGTTGTGTCGAGCATGGCTCTGGTGCTTCGGTGGACGGAGGTTGTGTAGATTTATTTTCGTCACACGGCTCCTTTTGAATATCGGGATAGATAATGATTACATTTGCGGGTTGGAATGATTCGACTTGTTTTTCAGAATCATTGTGGCAAGGAATATTTGAGATGGGTTGTGAAACGGGAACGTTAATGTGATTTATAGTAGCTGACTTCTGAATGTAATAAGAAGGATTGCCAATAGAGATGCTCGGGGACAAGGATTTGCTACGTGAAAAGAACGGTAGATTAGGCTTGTTGTACGAATATACTCCGTATTCTTCTGGCTTAGGTTCACCTGGAAGTAAGTCATAATTAATTATTGGTATTAAAAAAAAAAACGTAAATATTGTCAATGTTAAAACAACAATCATGTTGAGAACATTTTTTTCGTATATATAAAGAAAAACATCTTCACTGATCAGTTTTTAAGTTTTCTTTCTATGAAGGTCTTACGGTCGACATTTATTTCGTAACAAAGATTTGTCTAGTATTTATTCAAACATGAACTGGAATTTACTATCCTTAAAATGTTAATAAAATAATGATTACGTACCAATTGCAATAAGAGCCACAAACACAAGTAATAGCTTTCCCCGCGACATGATTGCCGCAATGTTGCAATCAACACTGCAAGTTCAACTGTATTTGTTTTGTAAAAGTACTTTCTTTTTATACAAATTTGATTTAATAGATACAAACAGTTATCGCCCTTGATATTTGAAATCATTAATTATAATTTAATGTTAGAAAGTTATTTAATGTATCGAATATTTTGAAGATAACAATATAACGGTATATTATTTCATAGAAAAACAATTATGGAACTATTACAACCAAAGCAATGTTGTTTTATCGAACGAAGAATTTTCCGGCAACTTGTATAGGTCGCTTTTTCAAAACTACCCTACAAAAAAAATATATATATCTTATATAGTCATCGATTTAGTCCTAAGTTTCTAAATAAATTTACTTTAACGAAACACTTCTTTTGTGAACCAATTTTTTATGTCACGAATTTCTTTAAGTAAACCCTGTTTAAGGATCCTTTCTAATAGACCGTGGCGGAGAGTAGAGCAGATTATTTTGTACGACTTTGTATTTAAGAGCAAGGGTGAAAAAGACTTGAAAAGTAAAAAACCTGGTTATAATTTGTTTGCGTTGGATTTACTAACACTGGCTGTAAGAAAGAACACTCGCAAATCAAATTGCGACGCGTTTTTAAAATGTCATAGATAGAGCATTGAAATAGAAAAAAGCTTCAGGATAAAATTATTATGCTTTTGGTTCTTTATACTTCTGCAGTTTGTCAAAATTTTGAGACTTAACCCCTAAAGTTTTATCCTTTAAACCACAAGTGCCCATTTATGGTTAGGGACTAATATTTTATTCTTGTAAGCATTCTCTAGACAGATAGTGTAATAAAAATAAACTATAATAATCAAACTGTAACTTTCAAAACTCAATAGAAAATTACATACAACTGACCTATAATATTTTTAAGATAAACTTCGGTTCAGTTTCGTATTTATTTTATTACATCTTCTTCACGAGGCGTCTATTCTAGTAATTTCTCAAAGCTATACGAAAAGCATCACTTAATTTTAAATGATTTCTCGCCTTCTAATTACCAACAAAGCAGAAAACCCTTGTTGAAATAAGTTGTTGAGTAAACCATCAAATCGTTCAAGACGATTTAAATTATTTAATTCTAAATTTGAAATCTCTTACTGGCCATACTTTGGCTTTAACGGATCGCTTTGTTGTGTTTATTAACGTACGTTTTTTTTATGTGAATAAAAGCGTGAATATTGGAGTTTGTAATGCTGTTAATCCAACGCAAGCTCACGGTTAACATTAACTAAAGGTTTTTACACATATTTATTTTGCATGCATAATGAAAAAAGCATCTCAATACGTCTTGTTGAGTAAATTATTGGAGGTACTCGTATGTCTCATTGGTATTTGTCTTTAAAATATTATTAAACCGCAAAAGAATATTGTTAATGAGTTAATCAAGTAATGACATTCCTCCTTATGATAATAAACCACAAAACTACATTTATAATTGCATATTTATTGAATATGAGCGTCGGTGTCGTAGGTGTAAGCACTGAACATGTATACAGGTTCGACCCCGTCATGTACCAATGTATTTTGCGCTTTTCATATCCGAAGTTCTTCGTGAAGGTAAACATTGTGATGCAGTCTGCTTATGTCGGTGAAGAAATTAAAAAAGAAAATGCCTCACGAAGCCAAAGTGGTTGATTAACTTTGGATAGCATCGAACTTGTTGGGCTGTTATGAGCGCATTAATCTTGTTGTCTGAGTTATAATTCCATAATGACAAATTCTTAATTCTGAAATTTCTTAATAATTTCTGTCTGTCATTTAATGTCCCTTTTTTTTAGTAAGTCAATGATAGAAAGCTAATACTGAGTTTTTCATGTAAAGAGCGTTGGAACTCAGGGGTTTAGCCCTTAAACTGTAATAAGCAGGTACGACGTTTCGAATTATGTACCATGTACCAATGTGATTTTCGATTTACATACATATATAAAGTCTTAAATCTATGATATAAAATAAAATATTTAAAAAAAAAACGAATAATTCACTAAAATATAATATGTTATTAAAAGGAATCCCTTTAGGCAAGGCAATATATAAATACATTTTATTAAACGACATATAAAAAAATGTGTCATAAAAATATTTTACTTTTTAATATTTTACTTTATGTTTGGGTAAAAAAAAATGAAAGACAATAAAAAGTTTTGTTTTTAATCCGTTTATTTTATGTGCTTGAAAAAAATTAATAATGGCATAGCAAAATAAAAAGTCCAAGAGTCCAAGTTTCCACTGACGGAAGTGTGAACCATTTCAACTTGCTTTTAAAGTTTTCCCGACACGGTTGAAAAATGTTTGCGTTAGTTTTGCTATCCCCGTGAAGTCAATGCAAAAGGCTGGATGGGTGGATGGATGGATTGCTTGCAGGTATCTACAGAACGGCTGAACGGATCTCGATGAAATTTGGTATAAATATAGAACATAGTGTGGAAAAACACATAAGCTACTAATGGAGTTTATTTTTAATTCCACTCGGACGGTGTCGCGGGCGATTACTAGTTGTTTATAAAATATTTTATATATATATTGTTTTGTATCAATAGATGTCAGATTAGTTGCTAAAATGTCTAGTTAAAACACAAACTTATTTCATCCGATTGCTAGCAAAAAGAATAAAGAATTAGCAAACATTTTGTAATAATTATCTATTGTTTTCTACGTAAATTATGTATTAAAATACCATTTTACCAAACATCACACTTTAAAATAATTTAGAATAAATGCTTAAACACTTTTTCTAGAGATGTCTTGTTGTAAAAAATATTTTGTAGAAAATGGTTGTAATTATAAAGTCAAAAACGATTTACATACACCCATAAGTTTACTTAAAAAAATATTGAAGTACAAGCTACAAATGGGAATTAAGAGTGACGCTTCTCGCATTGGAAGTCAGTTCTGACGAGATCTGAGTTGACGCAGCGATTGACGGAGGTGTCGAACTTGTAGCCAAGGTCACAGCTCACCAGACGAGCGTTACCCCTGTGACAGGCGATGAACGAGTAGCATTTGCCCGGCAGTCTGAAACACACAAATGTTATTGAATATGATAGTCGAAGGACCAAAAATGTACGTGGTAGGCGGTATTACAAGGCCAAATTTTATTTGGGCCTGTACAGTCAGCTGCAATAATAACAGCCAAGTAATTCAGATATATAGGAACTCCTAGAGTAATCAAATATATAAGTACAACCATATTCGCCAAATTAATAGACACACCTACTCTGCGCAAATACATCGGAGAAGGTACGCTTCTCAAGCGGACACACAAAATGAAGAAATGAAAATTGGCATAACTTTTTTCTGACACCCCTATTTGGGTAAACAAGTAGAGAAAAGTGACAAAGTGTGTTCGTACCCAAAGTTTTCAGTGATATCATATCCATACTGGTCAACGGATCCAGGCGGACAAGAATAGCCGACGAAAGCTGTGAAAAAAAAATACAAATTAATACTTTCTCCTGACAAATAACATTCATTAGCTTTATTAGTTATCTAACTTTGATGCAGAATATTCAGAAACATTTTTATTCTGTTTCTACCATGTAGATATTGACACTTTGCCACATTGTTGACCCAGTTAAGGTTATAAGCTAGAAAAACAACATACCTTCAGCATTACAAGAAGCAACTTCGGAGGGCCAGTCGCAAGTTCCCTTTGCAGGGTTAAACGCGAGGCCGGGGGGACACTCTTCCTCAAAGGCGACGCCGGCTACACAGCGCCGGTACTTGCCGCAGTCCGAGCTGGTAGCCAGCGGGGACTCGAAGAATCCGTACTCGTGAGGGCAATCTGCCGAAGATCTGGGCGGCTCTGTAAGAATACAGAGATTTTAAGAAGAATTTTGATTGGAAGAATTGACGTGGTTCATTGTTACACTAATACCCTTAAGAATAAGATTGTTGTTGTATTGTTTTGATAAAAGACTTACGGGGCACGCCGTCACTGCATTCGACATCACCTGGATATCCGCAAGGATATTCCGGCCACTGCGCCTTCGGATTGAAGTAGAGACCATCTGGGCAGGTTCTTTCGAATTCATTCGATTCCTGAGAAATGAAAATATATTTTGAATTACATACTATGAAGCAAGAAAAGTATTGTAGCGTCGTGATTTACGACAAATCTAGGATTATGGGTCTTAGGTACGTATACTTACAATACATTCGTAGAAGCTGTCGCAGCTGCCGGACATTTTAACGTATTCATTTTTATTGCCGCAGTAACCACTGTCGCCTGTTTAAAAGAAATAAGTAAAAAAATTATTTTAGTAAAATTAAAGGATTAAATGAAGACTAGTTAGTACTTACCAGAGACGGCCACGACCAGCGCTGCAATGCAAACTAAGATGAACATCTTTGAGTTGTTGTTGAGAGATAGAGTTGTGAGCTGTCGAGTGATGTTTGCTTAGAACGTGTGATATTTTATATGAAAATAAGTCGTTAAATCTACATTACTTTAAATGTACTTAGATAAAGTTGATATCAAAATTTTATCTTCAATTGTACATCAATTGTAATTTCCGACTTTATCTTACCGCATTTGGTTTTAGCTACCGTTTGAAACACTCGTACAAAATTCTTGTGTAATACTAAAAGTGATAATATTTTATTAAACGTATAGATGGAAAATTATAATAATTTGATAGTATGGTTTTGCAACGCTTTTTTCCTCTCAAATATTTCTTCTCATTGCCCACCAAAAACTTTATAAAGAAGCTTTGTTTATCTAATTTCAACCGTGATTTGATAGTTAAGACAGTTTTTTACATGTACAAAATTTATACGTTCTTTTAAATATAATTAAATGGAATAAATACATTTGATGGCCTAAATTGGTTTAGATATTTTTGTTATTTTAATGATAAAGTAAGACTGAAAAGTATTCGCTTTCAGTAATTTTTTTTAGATAACTAGCTGTCGCCCTCAACCTAACCGTATTAAAATAAGTTTTAAGTATCCTATATTTTCTTTCAGGCTATGTTCTACATCTCTGCTAAATTTAAACGAGATCAATTAAACCATTCTGGAGATACTTTCGTACAAACACCCATCCATCCATCCATCCATAGTTTTGCATTAGTAGTTGTAATATGTAGGAGATAGAGTCCCATATATGTGTATCATCATCATCAGCTCACTATACGTCCCCGTCAAGGGGCTCTGAGCTTACTTTAAGTTAGGAGTTGTAGAGGCCATAGTCAGCCACGCTGGCTAAGTGCGGGTTTGTTGAATTCACACATATCTTTGAATTTCTTTTCAGATATGTGCAGGTTTCATCACGATGTTTTCCTTTACCGTAAGAATAAATGTAAGAATATTATATGATATAAGGAAAAATATCTATCCACATTGAATTCATATTAAACCATTTAACATAAGTATAATTGTACTTAGATAAGGTAACGTTAAATAAATAGTTTCTTACATTAATGAAATTTTTCCAATCTCTCTGATAGCGTACTCTTTTCTACGATAATTCAACCCTTACTTTTCTTAAGAATATGTTGTCTATATGTTGAACTAACTGACGCTCACGACTTTGTCCGCGTGGAATTAAAAATAATTAAATAATCACTGTGTTCTTCCGAATTATGTTTTAAATCTACGCCAAATTTCAGCGACATCTATGCAGCCGTTCTGTAGATACCTTCTAACAAACATCCATACATTCACCTTTATAATATTAGTAAGATTTGCAAAAGTTGGTTGCCTAATAACATTGTGATTTTATCTTTCGCATTTGAAATTTTATAAGTTGAATAAAAAACAAAAGAAGTAAATTGTTACTTCATTTGTTTTTAATTATTATAACAGGAATTAGAAAAAGTGTATCCACCCTTTTTATTCTTGTTTATTCATTTAAAAATCAATTTCTCAGTTTTGTCTTTTCATAGATAGTATTAAAATTACGTAATTTTGATTCTTAAACTGGTTTGCTGATTTACCTACTTATATTAGATTTAGTAATTACCAGTTTAGTAATTATGACCAAGTAAATTCAAATTTAATTTAATTTCGTTAGTCCCATTTGTATAAAAAGGTTTTGGAAACAATACAACGACACTTTCAATTTGCATTTCCTGTGAAAACATTCATTAAACTAAAAATGCGTTCATTCGTGTGTTTTGCCGCTTTATTGACGGTGGCCTGTAAGTATTTTTGTTTAGTCATAATGCGTAACTTTTATTTTTCAATAACTTGAATAAATTTAACAAGTACTTGTAATTTAAATCATGAACATTTCCACTTGTAGATGCCGTACAAGAAATACCCTATGGCGCGGTGGGTGACGAGGTATGCCAGGAGTACAACACGTACTACAAGATACAGGGCAGCTGCGACTCCTACGTAGAGTGTAACGTGAGTGTTATGCCGTGTTTAACGTGACTGATTAAAAATATGCTATATTATATTAGTTTGATGTACATGTTGAATGTTGAACGTTGCAGGCCTACAAGGCGACGTACAAGACGTGTCCCGACGGGCTGTACTTCATGCGCGACGTGCAGTGGCCAACCTACCCGTGCGCGTATCCCTCGGACGCCCAGTGCGAATACAACGACCAACCTCGTACGTACCTACCATGCCTGCTCTTATCTTACTCTATACTACAGTCTACATGCAAACAATACTGTGACCTGTTGTTTTGATGTTCTGTGCAGAGCGAGCCGTGTCATCAGCGGAGTGCAAGACCCAGTATGGATTCTTTGCGTCGCCGTTAGCTACCCGCTCCGATTGCGGCAAGTACCGCATGTGCGTGGAGGGCAAGGCCTTCGAGATGGAGTGCGCTATGGGTCTGGCCTTCAACCCTGAGACCGGCCGCTGCGACTGGCCCGACCTTGTGCCGAGCTGCAGCGCTGAAGGTACCCGCCTCTTTCCCCATCTCTTTCATTGTGCATTTTGAGCAGTACAGTGTCACTACTGTACTGCTCAAATACAACTGCTGCCAGTAGGCAGCAGTTATTTGAACTGTTTCTAATGTTCCCCGATGTGTTTACAGAGTTCCTCGGCTTCAAGTGCCCACCTGCGACCTACGACGAGTTCGGCAAGGCGTACGTGGTAAACTTCAGGTGAGTACTACTGTGCAGTGCTGCGCTGTGTGCGTGCATGTGCCGTGAGCAATGAGCCGAGAGTTAAGCGTGTTGTCTGTGTGCGCAGCATCCAGGGCAGCTGCCACTACTTCTTCTCGTGCATGGAGGGTGTGGCGCGCCTGCTGGTGTGCGACCGCGGCTTCGCCTTCGACGCCTCCGTCAACCGCTGCGTTGATGCCACTAAGGTGCAGTGCCAGGAAGGATGAAAAATCACATCATGAATAAAATAACTTATTTATTTATTTATTTATTTCCTTGTTCAAGCAATAAAACATTGAAAACAATCTAAACATACCAATTTAATTTCTACTACCTAATTCTTTAAGTTAAACTAAGTTGCGCCTTTTTTAAAATAATTGAAATTTTGCTAAGATACTAAGATGCAAGACTTGTTTATACAGGAAATGTAAATAGGAACTTGAATATTTTAAATCAAAAAGTACAATAATCGCTATTAGAAGTGACCCTAGATAGTGGCCATGATCCAGTCAAGTTACAATAATTTGCATAGACCTGAAACTTTGTAAGATTGCGCGGAACACAATTCACCCATTGATTTCGCTTAATTGGACTGCACTATTAAAATATTCTTACATTAAGTAAGTTAACAAGTTTTGAAGTAGATCATTAAATGTAACAAACTATTTTCTATTTGGAATAGAAACAATGTGTAACAAATGTGCTTATTTTCGCGAAATAACGAAGACATTAGCAAATACTAAAACATAGTAATTTTATTATTAAACATCTTTCTTAAAGAGTTTGAGCATGTCATTAGCTCATATACGTCCGCAAAGGTCTCGCCTACCCTAAGTTAAGGGTGACTAGACTTTATTGAGAGCGTCGGTGGCTCGAGTCCAGCACTTGACTTGCAATCTGCAGGTCCTGGGTTCGAATCCCGCCATGTACCAATGTGTTTTTCGATTTCCAATTTACGTTTGTACATTTATCCGACATTCTTAACTGAAGGAGGACATCGTGATGCAACCTGCACGTATCTGAGAAGAAATTCAAAGATATGTGTGAAGTCAACCAACCCGCACTGGTTGCCAGTGTGGTTGATTATGGCCTTAATTTAGGGTAGGCTCTGAGCCCCTCGGTGGGGATGTAAAGTGAGCTGATGATGAAACTTTATTCAACCACGCTGGTCTAGTGCGGTATGGTTGACTTAGCATATATCTTTGGAATCGTTCGAAGATGCTTCGAGGTGACTTTCTTTGTTCAATATTTTCGAGTATATTCACAAAATTATAAAATTTACAAATAATAGTTTATTTAATTTAAATTATAACTGGCGTTACTACATCCATTGAAACCTCAATCGGTAGGTTTTTTTTTTCAAATTAAGTTTACGTCATTTTGTTTCTGAACATATGTTTTGAAAATTAAAACTCACAAGTTGTGTTTGTCAAGTTTACGTGTTTCTTGATTTGTCATTGCTATTTAATACTTCTAGGCACAATTTATTTCTTTATAACTAAATTTTCTACGAAATCTTTGTTTCAAAATATGTATATTGCTATTTCTGTTTTTCTTCAGAGGGAAAGAGAGTTTTTAAGTTTTATACATGTATTTTGTAAGTGGAAACACAAGGTTACATAGCTCTCTACTATAGTCGTTTATTTAAGTTTACCTTTTTTAGCAGACTTAATTAAGTTCTAATCCCAGGCTCGGGGAGAGATAGCGTCTGACCAAGAAAAGTCAATAAACTTTTTTATAGTGGAGGCCAAAACTAATTCAGGTAGACTAGCGCAAGTCTCATTATATAGTTGTTAGCTGAAGTTAGCTATTATGAGTTAAAGTTTGAGATTTCATGTTGGCTCAGTAGACAATGTCTTCTTGTATATATTACGTTGACTTTCTTACTTTTCTGACATTTTCTGCGTTACTATAATACTTTTAGACTTTATTAGTTAGTATCATTTAGAAGCGAGTGGCGAAGTCAGATTGATTAGTGAGGGGACATAAACGTTGACATTTTAAAAAGGATAATGTTGTGTCGATACACAGGCACAGCGTCGGATTTTCTTCCTGAACACTACTAACGCGATGGTTGTAACTTCGGCTAAGGCTCTATTATTTTGTTCGGAATACGCTTAACTTATGAATATGTAAGCTTGTATGTTTCTATGCCTTCTCATTATATCATCCATCATTTGATTCTTCCATTCTTTGTTTTTTTAAATTAATTTCTATATATGTAGTTTGTAAAGAACCATGCCTTTACTCTAAGAATCAGGTAGTTGAAATAAAATTGGTATGTTTTGATTCTTTTCAATGTTTTATTGTTTGATGAAGGATATAAATAAATAAATAAATAAGTTATTTAATTCATGATGTGATTGTTCATCCCTCCTGGCACTGCACCTTGGTGGCGTCGACGCAGCGGTTGACGGACGCGTCGAAGGCGAAGCCGCGGTCGCACACCAGCAGGCGCGCCACACCCTCCATGCACGAGAAGAAGTAGTGGCAGCTGCCCTGGATGCTGCGCATACAGACAACACGCTCAACACTTGTCTTATTGTTTTCCGCGGCACATGCACGCACACAGCGCAGCACTGCACAGTAGTACTCACCTGAAGTTCACTACGTACGCCTTGCCGAACTCGTCGTAGGTCGCAGGTGGGCACTTGAAGCCGAGGAACTCTGTAAACACATCGGGGGAACATCACCAACAGTTCATATTGCCGCTGTCACTGTCTGCACATTAAATGAAACGGGGAAAGGGTCGGGTACCTTCAGCGCTGCAGCTCGGCACTAGGTCGGGCCAGTCGCAGCGTCCGCTCTCGGGGTTGAAGGCCAGACCCATCGCACACTCCATCTCGAAGGCCTTGCCCTCCACGCACATGCGGTACTTGCCGCAGTCGGAGCGGGTAGCTAGCGGCGACGCGAAGAATCCATACTGGGTCTTGCACTCCGCGGATGACACGGCTCGCTCTGCACAGAACATCAAAACAACAGGTCACGGTATTGTTTGTATGTAGAGTACACTCTACACTACAGTATAGAGTAAGATAAGAGCAGGCATTTAGGTACGCACGAGGTTGGTCGTTGTATTCGCACTGGGCGTCCGAGGGATACGCGCACGGGTAGGTCGGCCACTGCACGTCGCGCATGAAGTACAGCCCGTCGGGACACGTCTTGTACGTCGCCTTGTAGGCCTGCAACGTTCAACATTCAACATGTACATCAAACTGATATAACACAGCATATTTTTAAACCGTCACGTTAAAAGCGGCGTTACACTCACGTTACACTCTACGTAGGAGTCGCAGCTGCCCTGTATCTTGTAGTACGTGTTGTACTCCTGGCATACCTCGTCACCCACAGCGCCATAGGGTATTTCTTGCACCGCGACTGAAAGTTACAAAAAAAATCAAGTTTATCAGGATATAACATGAAGTAAAAAAAACCTTTATTAGCAAATTTGTCGAATATTTTATGTATTATAATAATAATTTAGAAACTTACACGATACCGAACACAAAGCAGCCAAAATAATAAAGAAGTACATTTTACTTGTGAATTACCTTCGCAAGAAACACAAATGAATAATGATGGTTGTATTGTAAAGCAAACTAATTTATACAGAATTATCTAATTAGTTTTATTGCATATTGCATTTCGAAATACGGTTATTTTGACGGTAATTAATATTATTTACGTAATAAACAAGAGACGAAACAATAGAAATGGTACTTAGCGATAATTCCTTACTGACGTGACTAAAAAATATTTAAGGGCAATCCTTTATCCCATGACGCCCTGACTAAGAGATACCGAATAGATTCCATTCAATCAATAACATAGTCTACAGGACAGGCATAATTTTCAAAAACGATAAAGAACAAAAATATTTTTCATTAGTCATCACAGATATATACAAAAAAAAAGGGATGCCATATAATCGTTCATCATCATCAGCTCACTGCATGTCCCCACCGAGGGGCTCGGAGCCTACCCTAAGTTAAGGGTGATTAGGCCATAGTCAACCACGCTGGCCAAGTGCGGGTTGGTTGACTTCACACATATCTTTGAATTTCTTCTCAGATATGTGCAGGTTGCATCACGATGTTTTCCTTCACCGTAAGAACGTCGGATAAATGTACATATGTAAATCGGAAATCGAAAAACACATTGGTCCATGGCGGGATTCGAACCCAGGACCTGCAGATTGCAAGTCAAGTGCTTGACCACTGAGCCACCGACGCTCTAATATAATCGTTAACTATGAGTTATATCCTATATACAAATATAAATAATGGTAATTTCGTAAGCATCAAAATTCTTAGTTTGAAAAAAATTAGCGGTCCGCCGCAGCAAGCTACATTCCAGGTAAATCCAGTCAAAATCTTACCAGTCGTTTCGGAGATTACTCGGTACAAATTCGAGCTTTCATATAGACAGACAGGACATACCATAAAATTATTATAAAAAATGTCTTTCGTTATCAGCAACGCAAACCCATCATGGGTTCGAAATATAATTTATTTTCGATGCAGACACTCCAGTTTCATTAATTTGTAGTCCTCTATTTGCAGTATTCCAATTTTATAATTGTCTAGATTTCGCCGAAAAAATAATTAATTTTACAATTGTTACAGCATTTTCTTGTAAGAGTTTCATTGAAGTATAGAACAAATTGTTGACGAGAATTTGATAACTTAATTGGATGGTTATAGCCAGCGTTGAACAATTTTTTCGCTTGGCACAGGACAGGAAAGGGTTCGCTGAGCTGACGGCCAACCTCCAGTAATGGAGAGGCATTAGAAGAAGAAGAAGAAGAATTGGATGGTAATAATTTCTGGTGTCTTAAAACCAGAGGGTTGTTTGTTTGGTTTTTGCTTTGCATATCATAAAAATAAAAATAATAGGTAATTTAGTTTTGACTTATATATTTATAGTAAATAAAAATGTAATACTTTGTCATTTGAACTTTGTGCTTTGAAAACTTGTTGAGTTGTTGTAAAGTTCCATTGTACTTCTAATGTTTTTACTTATATCTTGTAATAAAAACCGTAAGCTATTGAGCGCAAAATTACCGTTTAATATAAAAACATATTATCTCTGTTTTGTCAGAGACAAAGACTGGAAACGATGATGAATATGTTTTATATAGAGAATTTGGCCTCAAAAACTAACCTTCATGTATTATGCCTATTAAGATTAAATTGTATACTCATAAAAATAAATCTTACGACAATATGTAATAATTAAAAATATATTTTGAATAATAATTTATTAAATGAAGAACATTTTTAATCATAAAAGTATTGATATAAATTAGCTGCGTGCACTGCAAGCGGGCACGATGTCGGAGCGCTCGCAGCGCTTGCTCTGGAAGTTGAAGCCGAGTCCCGACGGGCAGACCATCAGGATGTACACTCTGTTGCGGCACATCAGGAACTGGTTGCAGCCGCCCACACTAAAGGGGTAAATGTCACCGTTCGAGCAGTCAGTCCTGGGAGCGGCCGTCGAGGTAATAGGCGCTACTGTCGTAGTGGTGGTGGTTGTGGTCGGGGGTTGTTTCGTGGTCGTTGTTGTCGTTGTCGAGGGTGTCGCTTGCTCGATACAGGGCACGTTGTGTGCAGCTGTGTTGACGCATGAGCAGCTGATCGCGATCTCCTGCTTGACACAAGGCTCGGGCGTGGTCGGCTGACACGGCGGCAGAGTCGATGGCGGAGGTGTCCTTGAGTTCTCACAACCGCATGCTGGCTTACCATTTACTAGAAAATAATAAAAACCAATAAATAAAGACATCGACAGTACAAAATATGAAGGTACAATATTTAAACAAGGAAGACTTACCAGATTGCATGGCCAAAGCCAGCAAAAGAACGGAGAACAATGTTGTCTTGAACATGATTATTGTTGTAGTGCTGTGAAGCTCTGATGTGAACTGTGACTCTACTTGAACTTACACTGTATTTATACTAATTAGAATAATTGCACATTTTTGCAATAATAATTACAATCGATTTTTAAACATTTAAATGCGTTAACGGTGAATCGTTACGTTTTTTAAATTCCAAAAGTTTCGGTAATATATAATTAATGAATTTAATTATTACAGAGACTTTAAAGAATATCTTTTTTGTACAGAGATAAAGGTTTTCAACTTATGTTATATCAGAAAAATAATCTATGCAGCTTTGCTTGGGTGAAAAAACAAGAAAAAAGACCAATACCTAGATTCCTCATTGGAACAAAGAAAGTATTTTTTTATTATCATAAGGTGGCAAACAAGCTAGTGGTCACTTGAAATTGCTGAAATATCGAAGCGACTGTTGCCTACAGGTCTACTTTTAATGGACTGAGGAGAGGATGCACAGAAAGGAAATATTTTCCCTTCCCGTGCATACTCTAATCCGGAAAATCCACTTCCACTTCCCATACTTTTCTTATATAAAAAGGGTGGGAAGGGAAAGAGGACTAAAATTAGGTCTCCGGTACCACACTCATCAGATGAAACGTGGTATTTCTTTCACTTTACGCCTGTCTTCTGTGTGGTCGTGGTACCGGACGAACCGACCAATTCGTGTGTATGTACAGAGATGTTAAAACGGGCTCTACCACTGTTAAAAAAGAACTTCGATTCCAAAACTATTAAAAAAAATGTTTTTTACGTTTTGATTGTTCAAACGCTTCAAAAAAGTTTTGGTCTATTATCCTTTGGGTTGGATTCAGTTAGGGTTTGGAAATTGATTTCCTTAATGTTAATACATTTCTTCAACTTAATCAGATAATACAGTAACATCTTATTATTAGAGGGAACCATGCCTCCACTGCGGAAATCGTACATTTATGATAGAAAATAGTACTGTGGATTTAACTTCCAAGATTGCAAAATATAGAAAATTTAATATATTATGGTACTCAATTTTTTTTTCTCAAACAATGAAAAAAACAATTATATAATAGTTGCAAGTCAAAGTTTGCCAGATTGTTGTACTTAATAAACAAGAATTAACTAAGGAGAATTTTATTAAAGGACACTTCTAATGTTATATACTTAAGAATAAATATTAATCATCATCAGATCACTATACGTCTCCACCGAGGGGCTCGGAGCCTACCCTAAGTTAAGGGTGATTAGGCCATAGTCAACCACGCTGGCCAAGTGCGGGTTGGTTGACTTCACACATATCTTTGAATTTCTTCTCAGATATGCGCAGGTTGCATCACGATGTTTTCCTTCACCGCAAGAACGTCGGATAAATGTACATATGTAAATCGGAAATCGAAAAACACATTGGTACATGGCGGGATTCTAACCCAGGACCTGCAGATTGCAAGTCAAGTGCTTGAACACTGAGCCAAAATATTATTAAAATATTATTGATAATAGAAATTGGAAAAAGATTTTTTTTTATTATACTTTATTTAATTGGTTGCATTTTTATGAAACTTTAACTCGTGCAACTAAGAAACGCTTTGATAATAAAAATGCCGAAGCGATAGTAAAAGACCAATTTAGACATAAATTTGCTGTCGGAAAACACAAATGGTGAAACATTTTACCATGAATGTGGGAATGGGTTACAATTTTTTTACCGACGAATCTGAACAGTGGGTAACGGAATCTCGAATAAGGAGACTATTATACTACGCATGAAATTAAATTAAATAAAAAAAGATTTTAACGCATTTTATTTTACTAATGTAGTTCAAAAGTTTTGACGGATATATGGTTTTTTGTTAGCAACCCCCCTAACAACTAAAGAGATCTTGATGAAATATAGAAGAGATAGTTTACAGTCAATCATAGCATAAAAGTTAACTCAGTTATTTACCGATTCCCAAAAAGATGATGGTTCTCAATTAGTGTGTCTCTTAAGTGTGAAACCCATAACTTTGCCAATGTTAGACCGATTTCCATGTTCCTTTTTTTAATCGAAAAATATGCTTGCAGGTGGAGGAGTAGATTTTTAAATATGATAAACAAAAGTCCGAAGTGGCATAAACTATATCTCACTCTGAACAATAGTTTAGAAGATATCAAAGACTAAAATTACGTGTAACGGAAAATTGCAAAGAAAAAATCCTTTTTGGTTTCTTGGCTTAAGTAGGCTAAACTATAGGATCAACATAAATTTGATGTATGAATTAATTGTAGATCTTTGAATGATGATTTTATGCCGTATTTTGAATCATCATCATATCATCAAATGCAATATACTGCAGTATTAACCTCATTAAATAACGATTAACTTGTAATAATTGCAAAAATTAACTAGTATTCTAAATGGTATAAATACAGTGTAAGTTCAAGTAGAGTCACAGTTCACATCAGAGCTTCACAGCACTACAACAATAATCATGTTCAAGACAACATTGTTCACCGTTTTTTTGCTGACTTTGGCCATGCAATGTGGTAAGTTATCCTTGTTTAAATATTGTACCTTCATATTTTGTACTTTCGATGTCTTTATTTATTGCTTTTTATTATTTTCTAGTAAATGGTAAGCCAGCATGCGGTTGTGAGAACTCACGGAAACCACCGCCTTCGACTCTGCCGCCGTGTCAGCCGGCCACGCTCGAGCCTTGTGCCCAGCAGGAGGTCAGGACCAGCAGCGCATGCGTCATCACAACTGCTCCCAGAGTACCCTGCATCGAGCATGCGACACCCTCGACAACGACAACAACGACCACGAAACAGCCCCCGACCACAACCACCACCACTACGACAGTAGCGCCTATTACCTCGACGGCCGCTCCCAAGACTGACTGCTCGAACGGTGACATTTACCCCTATAGTGTGGGCGGCTGCAACCAGTTCCTGATGTGCCGCAACAGAGTGTACATCCTGATGGTTTGCCCGTCAGGACTCGGCTTCAACTTCCAGAGCAAGAGCTGCGAGCGCTCCGACATCGTGCCCGCTTGCAGTGCACGCAGCTAATTCATAGGAATCCTTTTATGATTAAGAATGTCCTAATTAATATTTATTTCTTTATTTACTAAATAAAAAATGTTTCGTAATATGTATTTTTAAATATTATTTCAACAAGCCTAAGATTACTTGACCTTCATACATGTTGACTACTAGCAGAATTTTAGTTTATGCTAACAATAACATCATACTGCGCACAATGACTTAAAAAAATCGGTTTAATTTTTAACAAAGTGATTTTGCTAAGCTAACCAACCTCTGACTATACTAATCTTTCTTACGAAATCAGCATGAGGAATAATACATTTTCTAGGTTCTTAATAAAAAAAATCCTACTTTTGAATTCAGAAGTTAGTTCTCATTTTCAACGTTTGTAATTTATTTTTTTATTAGCACTTATATATGATATGTATTTATTTTTTGGTAAAGATTCTCGAATATTTTTTGTTACAACATCTGAAACCTTATCAATAGCAGAAATAAGATTTTAATATAAATAAATCAATCAAATTCGCTTAGTTATCGTTATGATGTATTTTCACATAGTTACTATACATATAATACCTTAAAAGAAAATGTTATAAAGCAAATCGCAGGCAAAAGTGTGAAATTCTGCAAGCGAGCAAGCGGCCACGTTAATACACTGAAATAGCGAAGCGACCGTTATCTATGGACATGCCATTACAATTTCAGATTCGTTATTATTTTATTAATGGAGGAGGGGACTCACCGAAAAAAAATTGCCCGTACCTACAACGCATCCACTCTTTCGTCAGATCCACTTCCTCTTCCCATCCTTTCTTTATAAGGAAAGAGGTTGGAAAGAGGAAAGAGCGCACACGCACAGTCATCAGATGAAAAGCGGAATTACTTCCGCTTCACCCCTGTCTCATTTGTGTTCATCATCTCGTACATGGGACGACCAGACCCATTCGTTTAACAGATGTTGTTGCTGGCGTCTGTCTGTAAAAATATATATTTATATAATAAACTAGCTGTCGCCCGCGACTCCGTCCGCGTGGAGTAAAAAAAAAATTAGTTCCTAGCAATTTTTTCACCTTTTAAAATGTATCTAGACCTCCACGATTATTTCAAGACGAAGATAAGATAAATCCGTTCAGCCGTTCTCGAGTTTTAGCGAGACTAACGAACAGCAATATATATAGTTTTATACAGTTTTATTTCCTTCCTCGATAAACTTTCGACACAAATGGGATTTTTTAATACTTTTAGAAGGAAATAAAACTTTTACTGGCTAAAAGATCTTTTCCATATAATTGATGCATACTTAAATTGACACAAATCATCGAGTTATCTTTTAAGAATTTATCTCTCCTATACATATTCACCAACGGTATTTCACATACATACCAACCCGCAGTGGGCCAGCGTGGTTGACTATGGCCCAGTCACCCCTAACTTAGTCTCTGAGTCCCTCAATGGACGTATAGTGAGGTGATGATGATATTCATCACCTCGTTTTATTTTAATAGAAGGTAATCAGGTCAGTTACAGAGATGGATTTTTTTACCACAATATAAATATATGTACCTTTATCAAATATTGTGACTCAAAATACTAAGGATACATTGTGAGATACTAATTAATTCTGGGAATTGAATTAATGATTCCACAAAGTACATGATTGCTCAATAAAATCATTTAAATTATTACACATATTACGCATAATACATAGTTAATTATACTAATATTGCGATCATTGCAAAATGTACATTAGGTATTTTTTTTATAAATAGATTCTAGATTTTACCACACGCATATACCAACAAGACTTCAACGTTAGTCGTCATGCTACTAACAATCTATTTTACCTGTTTATTATTGGTTTCGTCAACACAATCAGGTAAGATTTTATTTAATTAAAAATATATTATATTAAATCATAAATTAAGATTATTTAAATTTGACGAATTTGAAATTTTTCGCCTTGCAGAGCCACCGAAGTATTTGGATGGTGGCCTGAGATATCTTGCAAGAAAATTAAATAAGAAAAACCTTTCTCCAACGGAATCAATATCGAGGAACCCTCCTGAACATATCATCCAACCAACGGAACCAGAAAATTTGAAACCTATCCCAGTATCATATGTTGAATATGCCCCGGCACCACAAATGGTACCATTTAAATCACAAGAGCCACTTTTAATGTTACCTACCACTGTAATCGAAACTGAAACTTCTCCAGAGCCAGTAATTACCCAAACTACAACAACGGAGCCAATAGTTACTGAATCTGTTACAGAATCATCTGTAAACATGATTAATGTTATGCCCAAAGAATCTGCTGTATCAACATCTTTCCCGTCATATTTCTATGATGCATTTCCGATAAGTAAGGAATTACCAGTCGCCGTATCAAGATCTAGACAAAGATACCCTGAAGTAGTTTATCAATTTGCAGAGCCTTATGTTACATCTGTACCGATACCAGAAATACCAGAAATATCTTCTACAACTCAAGAAACAACTTCAACTAGTGCAATTACTACTACGACTACCACAACTACTCATCCTACTACGCATGTTAGTACAACAGCTGTACCTATAACATCCACTTCATCACCTAGTTGTGTAAACGGTGATATATATCCAACGGATACTGGAAGTTGTGATCAATTCCTAATGTGTTACAATTCAGTCGTAGTATTGATGATTTGCCCTCAAGGTATGGGCTTCAATATTGATACCAAACGTTGTGATTGGTCGGAGTATGTTCCAGCTTGTAACACTCAAGGTAACATAATATAAAGTAAGATTTCTTGTTTTGTAATATTTTTAAAGCTTACATTATTAGCAGTTGGATTCTTTTTTGCAGAAATATAGGAAACTGACATTACTTGATAGTATTAGGAAGAAAATCCGAAAATGTATCAGTGTATTGACTCAACACTAGCCTTACAAAAATGTCGACGTCTGTATCCCCTTACCATTCATTCTGACACTGGACATTGTAACGAAAGTACGTCATTCGCGCCAATGGATTCTAACTGTTGCCCATTATATTGATGAAAATGGCGATCGGTTCCAGTATTATTAAAAACAAGAAGATATGAACATAATATTAAATTAATTAAACAAATTTTAGTTGTAATTTAGATATCACATGGTAGAGAAGGAGAACAAAAATCTTGTGAATAAATTTTTTTATCTATGAAATAAAAAGTTGCGAAAATCTGATTGTGTGTTGTTCGGACAAACGTGTTTTCCAGCCCCTTGTTGTGCCTAAATTACACAAATTAAGATGCAGGTAAGTTGGGTTAAACGTAACTTTTCAACCCGGTAGTTTGCCGTACTCCGTTTTGCACGTTCCTCGAACATCCTGTATAAAGAATAAATTTCACAAAAATAAAATATTTGATGATGTAATTATTTTGCTTTACTATAATAAGTTATCCTGTATACGTACTAAAAATTATAAGAGTGATAAAAGATAAACGAGTCACCCTCGATTTAGGGCTCCGAGCCCCTCGGTGGGGACGTATCACTATACGCACATTTAATTCACTAGCTGATGATGATGAAAAGATAAAATTACTTACCATAAAGAAGTGAGAATAGACAAAACTTTTAACTTCAAAATTTTCATTCATACTTTGAAACATTGTGAAAAAAGGGCGCCATGTTATTTTTGCAAAAAAAATGATGTCAACTGGGACCAAAAGATACGGGAGAGAGATGAATACGATAGGGCATTCTGTGTCTCTATGTGTCGACGTAAATTTGCAAAAAACATCAGAATAAGGAAAAAATATTGTCATTTAGATAAAGAAGAAAGCTTCTATAAGAAGCCATAGAGCTATAGATAAGTGAGAAGAAAATTGTTACATTTCTATTTCTATTCACCCCATTTTACGGTAGATATGATATATTGTGAGTTCCCTACTTGAAGACATAATAGAAAAAATGCAGCTCAACGCTATAAAGTTGCATAGATTTAGTGGTTTTAAAAAAAAAGAATTTTCTAAAAATAATACAGCATTTTACAAAGTTTATTAATATTAATTGTGCATACTTGTGTGTAATTTTATTTATTGTAAGCACTTAATTGTATAACAATAGTTAACATACAAAAAATGTCAAGATTTTAACAAGTAAACACAGAGATATCGTTTAAAAATAATATTTTAAATGAACAGTGGAGTAATAATAAATAGTAAAAGTAAAAACGTACAATTTTGAGCGTAACGAATAAAAAATTATAAATCCCGAATATATCAACGTCTATGGTAAGCGTACATCAGAATATATAATTCCAACATTAATAAAGAATTTACCTAATCTACCGGATATTAAAAATAATATAAACAACAAAAACATAAAAAAACATATTTAAAATATCCTTATCAAAAATCCTAAGTCTAATTAAATTATAACGCGTTTGTGCATTCTGTTTATGACGGTATGAGAGAGCTCACTAGTTTGCTGTAAAAAAAACTACCTACTGTTTCATTTCATAGCATAGTACCAAAGTTTCTGGACAAACCCGCAATGAGTTTATAGACATTTTTATTGTAAATTTGTTTATTGTTCCTTGTTTAATAAACAGATTTAACCCAACGAGTCAAATACGAAAAAATATTTTTCTAGGATTAAATTAAACTATTAATTTTAGACCATCAAACTCTGCTGTTAAGATCTAAGAATAACAAGAACGAAATGAAAATTAATTTTTATGGTTTAATTTTATATTTATAAAGAAATTAAATACAATAAATAAGATTTAAAGTCACAATTAAGCTGCACTGCAAGCGGGCACGTTGGCGGAGCGCTCGCAGCTCTTGCTCTGGAAGTTGAAGCCGAGTCCCGACGGGCAGACCATCAGGATGTACACTCTGTTGCGGCACATCAGGAACTGGTTGCAGCCGCCTACCCTAATGGGATAAATGTCACCGTTCGAGCAGTCAGTCCTGGGAGCGGCCGTCGAGGTAATAGGCGCTACTGTCGTAGTGGTGGTGGTTGTGGTCGGGGGCTGTTTCGTGGTCGTTGTTGTCGTTGTCGAGGGTGTCG